TGGGGCTGGTGTCACTGGTGTCCCTTGGGGTTGGGGGACATGGGACTGGTGTCACTGGTGTCCCTTGGGGCTGGTGTCACTGGTGTCCCCTGGGGTTGGGGGATATGGGACTGGTGTCACTGGTGTCCCTTGGGGCTGGGGACATGGGACTGATGTCCCTTGGGGCTGGGGGACAGGGCTGGGTTGGGCAGGAGGAGAGAATTTCACCCACACTGATGGAGAGAAGGAGCTGCTGGTGAGCAGCAGGGGAGGACTGATGGGCAGGGGTGCCCAGGTGGGGCTCTGTCCCGGCTCTATCCCCGCCCTATCCCGGGTTTATCCCCAGTTTATCCCTGCTCTATCCCGCCTCTATCCCCTCTCTATCCCAGGTTTATCCCACCTCTGTCCCGGGTTTATCCCCGCTCTATCCGGGCTCTATCCCTGCTCTGTCCTGGCTCTGTCCCTGCTCTATCCCGGGTTTGTCCTGGCTCTATCCCAGGTTTATCCCAGCTCTATCCCACGTTTATCCCTGCTCTGTCCCGACTCTATCCCAGGTTTATCCCAGCTCTGTCCCGGGTTTATCCCTGCTCTATCCGGGCTCTATCCCACGTTTATCCCCGCTCTGTCCCGACTCTATCCCAGGTTTATCCCGGGTTTGTCCCGGCTCTCTCCCTGCTCTATCCCAGGTTTATCCCAGCTCTCCCGGCTCTATCCCCGCTCTGTCCCAGGTTTGTCCCGGTCTCTCTCTGCTCTATCCCAGGTTTATCCCAGCTCTGTCCCGGCTCTATCCCCGCTCTGTCCCGGGTTTGTCCAGGCTCTATCCCCGCTCTGTCCCGGGTTTGTCCCGGCTCTGTCCCGGCTCTATCCCCGCTCTGTCCCCACTCTATCCCAGGTTTATCCCAGCTCTATCCCCGCTCTGTCCCGGCTCTGTCCCGGGTTTGTCCCGGCTCTGTCCCCACTCTATCCCAGGTTTATCCCAGCTCTGTCCCGGCTCTATCCCTGCTCTGTCCCGGGTTTGTCCCGGCTCTGTCCCCGCTCTGTCCCGGGTTTGTCCCCTCTCTGTCCCGGGTTTGTCCCGGCTCTGTCCCCACTCTATCCCAGGTTTATCCCGGCTCTATCCCTGCTCTGTCCCGGGTTTGTCCCGGCTCTGTCCCCACTCTATCCCAGGTTTATCCCAGCTCTATCCCCGCTCTGTCCCCGCTCTGTCCCGGGTTTGTCCCGGCTCTGTCCCCACTCTGTCCCGGGTTTGTCCCGGGTTTGTCCCCGCTCTGTCCCGGGTTTATCCCAGCTCTGTCCCGGCTCTGTCCCGGCTCTGTCCCCGCTCTGTCCCCGCTCTGTCCCCGCCGCAGCGCCGCCCTCCGGCCGCCAGGGGGCGCGGCCCCGGGCCCCTCAGGCCGAAGCGGAAGCGGAAGCGGAAGCGCTCCCGGCTCCTCTTCCGGGCGGGCGGCGCGGCGGCGGCAGCGGGTGAGGCTCCGGGAGCGGCCATCCGCGGCCATCGGGGCCATCCGCGGCCATCCCCGGCCGGCGGGGCCTCCGCGGGGCAGCGGGAGGGCGCTCGGGTGGCCGGGGGCCCGCCCGGGGCTGCGGGACGGGGAGAGCTGGGGCCTCCTTCGGGCTGCGCTGTCCTGGTGCCTTACGGAGTTCACGCAGCCCAGCCCGCATGGGAGGTGCCGGGGTGTGCACGCAAAAGTTGGGGAGTTGAGCAAAGCCAGCCTTTAATTTAATTTATCCTTGATTTTATTCTTTGCTGTCAGGATCAGTGGTGCCCTGACACGCAATGCTGTTAAGGTGTAGGAAAGGCCGGAATTATCTTGGATTTGCGGATGTGTTACCTGTTGGCTGCGCTGAGGAGCGTTACTGGAGGTGCTGGAGCAGAGCGAGTTCTCTCTGCAAGCCCAAAATTCACATTTTTATAGATGGTTATAAGTGAGAGCGGTATGGCTGCAGGGCAGCATCCAGGTGTCCTGAGCGCTGAGATGTGTCAGTGTCAGTCACAGGGACACTGTCAGTCCGCGCAGAGGCAGCAGCTTACTTGGACCCCCGGAATATCGGGGTTTGTTGATCAGTAATTTGATTAAAAATAGTTCAAATTGCTTTTTAATGCCACGGCAGACTGTGTGGGTGATGGAGTGTAGTGTGTGTGTGTGTGCAGTGAGCACCTTTCCAACTGCTGGGTTTTTTATTTATGTGCAGCCAAAATGAAGTTCAACCCCTTTGTTGTTTTTTTTTTAATGCAGCCAAAATGAAGTTCAACCCCTTTGTGACCTCGGACCGCAGCAAGAACCGCAAAAGGCACTTCAATGCCCCCTCCCACATCCGCAGGAAAATCATGTCCTCGCCCCTGTCCAAGGAGCTGCGGCAGAAGTACAACGTGCGCTCCATGCCCATCCGCAAGGACGACGAGGTCCAGGTACTGCCCTGCCAGCCCTGAGCTTCTCCCCGAGGAGTTCTCAGCAGGAATTTCCCCATGGAAAGGGTGCTCAGCCCTTGGGACTGCCCAGGGAGTGTCCAGGGAAGGGCTGGAGGAGGTGCTGTGGGGATGAGGCATCATTTGGATTTGATGATCTTGGAAGTGTTTTCCAAGCCAGCCGATTGTGGGATTCTGGTTCATGTGCAGCCTGTGGAAAAGGGAAGGATGGAACAAATATTGGTGCTGGAGCTTTGCCCTCAGCATGGCAGAAATAATCCAAGTTAATCAGTTCGTGGCTTGGGCTGTCAAGTGTTTCTTAAATTCACTTCAGTGACAAGGGTGATAGCAGGAACACGAGTGTGCTGGCAGTACTGCTGCACTTCAGCTACATGCATTGATCATTCTGCTCAACTGAGAGCTTTCAACAACAAAGCACAAAGCAAATAATTGTTTATTTTTTATACTGTTTGCTGCCTATGATATTTAAAAGATTTGATTAGAAATGAGTCCAAGCGAAGTGGCTTTTTTATATAAAACACAATGATAGGTGAAAAATTAAGGTAGAAACTGTTAAAAATTGCAGCTTGACTGCATGGCTACAGAGCTCCCTCATTAGGGTTTGCTGCAGAGAAAGAGGGGGAGAAGCACAATCCTGATCCGTTATATGTTCCATGCTATTAATGCTGAAATTGTCAGGTCACTGATGTGTTTGGGGCTTGGATCCTGGGCAGCTCAGCAGGGTAATTCAGCCATGGGTTGTACATGCTAAAAATGCAGCAAACCCTGGATGCAGGAAGAAATGATGATGCCTGCTCCAGATCAGAAGGCTGAAGGATTGCTTTATTAAAACTATACTCTATTACATTAATACAGTATTTAAAGAGAGACTATCCTATTCTAAATAATTAGTTCTTATCTAATTAACTCAAACTCGTGGCTGTGCTGAGAGTCCAACACAGAGTGCAATCCCAGTGGTCACTGACCCCAAACAACTTCACCAAATCCAACCCAGCCATCACTGCAGGTGAACAATCTCCACACCACATTCCACTTGGGCAAAACCAAGGAGCAGAGATAAAGATTGTTCTCTCTTTGTGCTTCTCCAGAGAGGCAGAGTTGTGTTTCTCTGTCCAGAGAACATGAATGGCACGGGTGTGAGATGGGCTGGCTGTTCCGGGGCTGGTTTTGGAGCTGTGTGTGTGTGCTGTGTGCAGGTGGTGCGGGGACACTACAAGGGCCAGCAGATCGGGAAGGTGGTGCAGGTGTACAGGAAGAAATACGTGATCTACATCGAGCGCGTGCAGCGGGAGAAGGCCAACGGCACCACCGTGCACGTGGGCATCCACCCCAGCAAGGTACGGGGGCACCTGGGGCTGGCACTGCCAGCAGAGCTGGGGCAGCTGGCTGCTCTGCGGTTGGGTAGGATTCTTACCAAGTGGTGGGAATGCTCCTGGGTCAGCAGGTGGAGCAGCCCTGGGAGAAGGATCTGGGGGTGCTGGACCTCAGCTGGAGCCCCATGCCCTGGGCTGATCCCCAGTGGCAGCAGCAAAGGGGATTGTGCCCCCTGTGCCCCCTCAGGTGAGACCCACCTGCAGAGCTGCCCCAGCCCTGCCCCAGCACAGGAGGAGCTGGAGCTGCTGCAGAGAGCCCAGAGGAGCTCCAGGGGATCAGAGGGATGGAGCAGCTCTGCTGGGAGAGCTGGGATTGCTCACCTGGAGGGGAGAAGCTTTGGGGTGACGCAACTGTGGACTTACAGTGCCTGGAGAGAGCCTACAGGACAGGTGGAGAGAGACAATTTACAAGTGACAGGACAAGGGGAATGGCTTCACACTGACAAGAGAGTAGGGTTAGACTGGGTATTAGGAAAAAGAATTATTGTGAGGGTGGGCAGGCCCTGGCACAGGGTGCCCACAGCAGCTGTGGCTGCCCCTGCATCCCTGGCAGTGCCCAAGGCCAGGCTGGACAGGGCTGGGAGCAGCCTGGGACAGTGGGAGGTGTCCCTGCCATGGCAGGGGTGGGGATGGATGGGATTTGAAGTCCCTTCCCACCCAAACCATTGTGGGGTTCTGTGAATAACAAATGGAGATGCTGCCTCAAGGAAATGTTAGGGTGTCATGAGCAGAGATGTGAGTTGAAATCACAAATTCCTCATTGTTTCTAGGAGTAGAAACTTGGGAATCTTGTTAAAATACATCTTTGAAGAGAGTAATGGTTTCAAAGCACAAAATGGATCACTTTAAACCATCTTTCATCTTTGCTGTGTGGCACTTGCACTGGATGAGGAGGTGCTGGAGAAGTTTAAAAGATGCTCAGAATTGTGATTGCTCTTGCAGGCAATTGTGAACTGAATACTTCTGAACCTGGGTTTAGCCTGAGATATTTAAAGCTGGTGAAAACCAGGCAAAGCCTGTTTAGATCATAACAGGGAACATTTCAAACTAAACACAAGAACTTGACAAAACCTGGATTGAGGCAGATGAATTCAGTCTGCTTCAGCCTTGCCATGTGAGCACAAAGATGGAAGTGTTGGAGAAAATCCAGTTGTAACAGGTTTTCTCGTGTAAATGGTTGGTGTGTTCAGCAGAGGGAGAGCAGAATTATTCCAAAACATCACGATTTGTGTGCAGCAACAACATCTGACTGACAAGGTGACATTGTGGTGGAGCCAGTGCATGTATCTGTGTGCTGAATAGCAGTGAGAGAATTTTCTGCTGGTTCTTCACTCTGGGAAAATTTTCATTAACTGGGAACTAGACCTCAATAAAGCTTTGCATAAAATTCTGATTATTAATGCAGAGGGGAGAGGGATGCTTTGTTACAGACTTTCAGTGGGCTGTGTGAACAGTTTGTACCTCTCCTGGGCACAGAGGTGGGAATTACAATTGAGACCTAAATGCATAGGGAATTAAGGAGAAAGTTATACCTATATGGCATTTCTAGGATTTGATTGTTAGTTCTATTTTCCAGCTAGTGCTTTCAGTAATACCAACACATGAATTTCTTTGCCAGTTTGAGGAGGCAGGAACAGGAATTATTGGATAAATAATTCTTCCTTGGGAGGGTGGTGAGGCAAAGGGAGCCTGGAGAAGCTGTGGCTGTCCCTGGAGGTGTCCAAGGCCAGCTTTGGCTGCTGGGATCAGCTCCGTGCTGTGGCTCAGGTGGATTTGGGATTGGCTGCTGCCCTTCCCTCTGGACAGGGAGCCTGAAGTGCCTGTGCTCTCTCCAGGTGGTGATCACCAGGCTAAAGCTGGACAAGGACCGCAAGAAGATCTTGGAGCGCAAAGCCAAGTCCCGCCAGGTTGGCAAGGAGAAGGGCAAGTACAAGGAGGAGACAATCGAGAAGATGCAAGAATAGGTGGTTTCCTCATTAACACCATTAAAAAAACTGCTAAAATTCAACCTGTTGTGTGTTTTCTTTCAAAAATATTGATGTGTCCTGCTCAGCATTTAAATATTCCTACTTTCCCTTTGTAAAAAAAAATACACTAAATTAAAAAGCTCTTTGTACATGTTTTTACTGTTGAGAAAAACATTTTTCTCCCTGTAGAGAAATGCTTCAACCAACCTGAAAGAGCAGTGCAATCCTGAAACATCCTAACATAACTGAGAGCTGCTGCAGCTTGTTGAGAGCAGCCCTGCGGTTCAGTGAATTTACTGGCTCGGTGAATGCCCCTCTAATTGCTGCTACAGAGGGACAAATTCAGCTGCCTGAACAGCGCTGGAATCTAAAAAAGAGGATGCTGGCAATCGGAGAAAATTGTTTTAGAAGCCATGCTTTAGGTGGACTGTGGGTTTCTCTCATGAAGGCTCAGAGGTTTTGTCCCTCCAGCTCGTGCTACTTAAAACAAAATTTCTTCACCTTGAAGTGAAGGTTTATTCCCTACGGGACCTTTCCAGGTGCTTGAGCTGCCCTGTGGGATCGTGTCCCACATCCCCAGTTCCCTGAGGAACTCAGAGCCAGCCCCTATTTGGTGGGAGCTTCGTGTCCCCCTCACCTGGCAGCGTGTTTGGGATGGGGTTGGGGAGCCAGGCTGGGGGATCCCATCACAGCCCTGATCCCATTCCTGCCCCTATCCCATCAGAACCCTGATCCCATCCCGGTCCAGATCCCGTCCCAGGGCAGTCCTGATCCCATCCCTGCCCCGATCCCATCCCGGCCCTAATCCCATCACAGCCCTGATCCCATCCCGGATTCCATCCCATTACAGCCCCACTCCCATCGTGGTCCGATCCCACAGTAGTCCCCATCCCATCCCCGATCCCATTCCAGGCTTCGATCCCATCCAGGCCCTGAGCCCATCCTGGCCCCGATCCCATCCAGGCTTCAATCCCATCCCAGTCCTGATCCCATCCCATCCCCGATCCCACCCTGATCTCATCCCATCCCATCCCATCCCATCCCGATCCCAGCCCTGATCCCATCCCATTCCCGATCCCATCCCAGCCCTGATCCCATCCAGGCCCCGATCCCACCCCCGATCCCATCCCATTCCCCATCCCATCCCCGATCCCATCCCATCCCCGATCCCATCCCATTCCCCATCCCATCCCATTCCCGACCCATCCTGATCTCATCCCATCCCATCCCGATCCCACCCCCGATCCCATCCCATTCCCCATCCCAGCCCCGATCCCATCCCATTCCCCATCCCATCCCATTCCCCATCCCATCCCCATCCCATCCCATCCCATCCCATCCCATCCCATCCCATCCCATCCCATCCCATCCCATCCCATCCCATCCCCGATCCTATTGCGCGCGCCCCGCGCGCTCCCGCGGCGCCACGGCTCCCTCCCGGCGCGCTGCCGCGGGGCGCGGTGACGTGGCGGGCGCTGATTGGCGGGCGGGGCGCGGCGGGAGGCGGCGCTGCCGCTGCCTCAGAGCGCGGCCATGGCGTACGGCGGCCTGGCCGTGCCCATCATCGTCATGAGCGTGTTCTGGGGGGTGGTCGGCGGCGTCCTGCCCTGGCTCGTCCCCAAGGGCCCGAACCGCGGGTGAGTGACCGGGGGGCACCGGCCTCCTTCCCTTCCGTGCCCCGCGGGTGTGGGGGGAGGCCCCTGAGGCGCCCCGAGGGTGCCCGGGCGCAGCGCGGAGCGGCCCGGGCTCGGCCGAGGGGCAGCGGAACGGCCGAGGGCACTGCCAGAGCCCCGCACGGGTTTGGGTTCCCCCTGAGGCCCTGGCACAGGTGCCCAGAGCAGCTGTGGCTGCCCCTGCATCCCTGGCAATGCCCAAGGCCAGGCTGGACAGGGCTTGGCACCATCTAAGATAATGGAAAGTGCCCCTGCCCATGGCAGGGGGTGGCACTGGATGAGGTTTAAGGTCTTCTCCAACCCAAACCATTCTGTGAAACCTCACAGGCAGAACGTCCCGTGCCAAGGTGGTTCATTGTCAGGCGGTTTTTGAGCAATAACTTCCTCTTTCTTTCCTTACTTGACCTTTCCTAACATACCCCACGTTTTACACTGGGTGAGACTGGAAAGGCTGCACTGGTGGGTTTCTGGGTTAAATGTGTGCTGCTGCCCTTGTCACTGAGGGCAACAACACGGCTTCTAAGCTCAGGTTTTTCCTGCAGTGGTTGTGGCTGCTCAGAGTAAAAAGCAGACAAGTTTTTGTCTTTCTCTTTTCTCTAGGAGATAATGGCTTCTTAATCTCTCTTCCTCTCTCTGACACTTCCTCTACTCCACAGGTACCAACTGTCTTTCCTCTCAGTTCTTTATCTAAACCCTCAATACTCCTCAAGCTCTGACGTTTCCTGCCTAATTTTCAAACCTGATGTGTTTTTCATGCCTGGAAATGTGCCTGTCCTCAGAAATATTTTAGAAAAATGGCTTCCAGGCATGGAAGTATGGGAATTCTGTGCCTCACCAACAGAAGTTACTCACCTACCATGAGGTTTTGTTACTCAGTTGGGGGAGGAAATAGATAGATGGAAATGCCTTTTTATCATTTAAAAAGAAAAAAAAAGCACTGTGCCACTGAGTTCCATGAGCTGCAGAGATCACTGTTAAAAAATCTCTTTTCTTCTCCTCCCATTTCAAACCCATCTGTGTGTGTGTAGCTGCAGTTTTACCATTTTCAATTTCAAGAGCTTGGTTCTTCCTTCTTTTCAGCTTTCCAGTGGTTTCTGACACAGCTGTGTTTCACCAAGAAAGGAAAATTTTACACTACAGCTTTGAGGTTTTATTTTGTGTTCCGTTTGTAGAGCCCTCATTCATCACATAAAATTAAAAGTGACAATTTGACGCTAAAACTTTCTGGAAGTAGAATTCTGCAAATGGAGAGGGCATTTATTGTGTGCATCCAGCTTCAGTGAAGGACACTGCATCAGATTTTGCTGCTGTTCACAGTGGTGTTAAATCCAGCTGTAAACTGTTTGGCAGAGCTGTGTCAGCCCTGCAGATCTGAACCTCTGCAGTTTACTCAGCTGGAAGAAACCAGAACATTCACATTGAGTCATCTTTCATATGATCAAAGTTTAAACTTGTCCTTGTTTGCTGTGGGGTTTTCCTCTGTGCATCTTGTGGTCAGTCACAACACCACACCTGATCATGTTTCTCCTTCCTCTTGGCAGAGTTATCAACACCATGCTGGTCACCTGTGCTGTGTGCTGCTACCTGTTGTAAGTACAAATAATGCCCTGCCTCTTCAGCAGGGCCCGCTCCTGGTAGAACCACAAGTTCCTTTTTTTATAGCCTCAGAGCAGTTAGAAGCTTTTTGAATGTGTCACAGAGATTTAGACACGTTCTTTGACATTCTCTTGGAATTCTGAGTTTTAAAGACCTTCAGTGTGCTGAAGAAATTTTCCCATTGGAAAAATGCTGAATTAAAAGGAACCTGAATTCCTCCTGTTGTCCTCTGACACATAACTCAGCTGTCCTCTGCATGGGCTTGCTGTTCCTCCTCTGCAGTTCACTGCCTCATTTGCTCACAAGTATAATGATACTCGGTCAGTTCTGAGATTTTCCTGATTCTTAAGCTTTTTTTGCCTTTTTTCTTTCCGCTTTATATTTAATTCTGAGGTAATACTAACTCAAACCCACTGAAGAGTTTTGCTTTTAGATTCCTTGAATATATTCTGAAAATCTGGTAGAGTGGTGGGTGGAAAAGCTGCTGCATGGTGGGTTTTTTAGTGAGACTTTGATATATTAAGACAATTTCTGTTTAAATACAGTGTATTTTGAGGCTGCCTCCTTTCTGTAGGAGATTTAGTAGCAATTACATAGTGACTTTTTGAGAGCTCTTCATATGTTTTTTTTTTATCAGCCAGCTGTAGCTGGAGGCTGCAAGACAAAGCTTGCTTGTGTTTTTCTCTCTCTCTTTTTAAAGATTGATCTTGTAAAAAAAATACTATGCAGAAATAACTTTGAAATAATTTGTTATGGAGAGTAAATTGGTACAAGTCTGGTTTGATCTTAAGAGTTAACTTGCTATAAAAATTCTTTGGAGTTCCATTCAAACCTGAGTAGTATTTGTACTTGAACTATTTAGGCATTATTTATGCTATTCAAAGGAATTTAAAATGAATATTTAGAGAAGTGCATCTCAGTGTTGACAAGTTCCAGGAGAGGCTTGTTGGGTTAGACTGTGGTACAACTAACACAGGTTTGGTTTAGCTTAATAATGTGATATTCAGGGTTAATATCAGTTTACACTCTACAAAACTTATTTCTATTCAGAGTACTTGATAGGTGAACTCCTAAGAATGCACTTTTGCTTAATTGTAAAAGTCCAGCAAACTTGGGTCTGTTTTGTACCCACAGAAGTTATTAAATTTAAGTTTTGCTGTGTGGATATGGAAATTAGAGAATTTGTGCAAGCAGCTTGAATTTGGGATTGGAATTTGGGAATCTCAGTACTGTGAAGGTCTCCTTGCCCTGCACATGAAGTTTGGAGCAGCCCAATCTCCTAACAGGTCCCAAATGTTTGGCTAAGAAAGAACAACTTTTCTGGTAATTTTTACTGGGTTGCTGTATTTATGTTACACTAAGTTGGGTGGTTTTTAATTAGGAGGAGGATTGAGGTTTGTTTTGGTTCTGTTTACATTTCAAGTTCTCATTTGGGTTTTTTTTCTACAGAAGCAATGTCCCACTCTTCTAAAACCCTTGAGGTTTGGTGTCTGTATTGTTTGGAGGAGAGTTTTCCTTGAAGTAGAGGCCACGTGGCATCTGCAGCATCCTCTGGGTTGGGATGTGAAATGTGCTTGTTGTAGAATTTCTTAACTTTTGGCTAAAGTCTGTGAACTCTTCAAATGTACAGTTGTACATGACTTGTAGGTTTAGTTGATTATTCTGTCTAAACAGACCCATTATAAAGCCTGCTGTTAATAACATGTTTTATAAACTGCTTTTTTGCATGTCCAGGGGTTCTCTGGTAATTTTGTGGGCTCTAACTTGTTTTCTGAAAGCCAAATTTCCTTTAGCTTTCTCCAGTTATACTCTGGGAAAAAAAAAAAAAAAAAAGCAGCAAAATCTTAGGATGTTTTCAACCCTTGGTAGTTGTACCCAACCACAGAAATTGGATTTGTAGTGTCTGCTTGCCAGAATGCAACAAAAAGCAGATTTTTCTCATCGTGTTCCAAGACAGAACTTGCCTCATCACACAGTCTTTCTCTTTTTTATTTGCTCATTTATTCTGTATGAAACTGTAGAACAGCCCTGTTTGGAAAGGGCCTCAAAAGATCTGGTCCAACCTTTTTCCTGTTTTATTCAAACATATGGAAGTTTATTGTTCCTGCATTCTTTTTGTTTTGGAGGAGGAGGTACTGAAAACATTTAAGACTTTACTTTTGGGTGGTTAAAGAAAGAGATTAATTTTTCATACCAGCCTTGAAAAATTGCTCCTGGGAGTTCTTCATTAGATGTGTTAGGATTAAAATAGGTTCTGCTGTCCCAGGTATTTGTGTGTCCTTAGCAGTGGCTGGTGCTGTTCTGTACTCTGTACATCTGTTTAGTCTCTGCTAGACCTGCTTTTATATTCTTTGCGTTACCTTCCCAGTTGAAAGTAGGGAAAAAACAATTTCCTGTCTTCATTAAACACCACTTGATTAACAAATTGATTTTCACTGAAATTAATTTGAAGTCAATCATGTTTCAACTTAAAGCTGTTTCTTCTGTATTTAGATTTAACAATGATAATTTTGAATAACCATAATGATTACGTGGGATTCATTTGGTTGTTCTGTGGAAGATATTTGCATCTAATTTGTGTACAGATCCTGTACCCAGCAGCCTTTTGAAGAATAAACCATTCCCAGGAACCTCTAAAATCTAAGGTAAAGTCCAAGGAGTTACTGCTGCAGAAATCAGAGGTTACACCATATTGTGAGGTACTGCCAGAGTCTAAATCTGTTTTGCTGTGCACAAAGCAGTTCCTGAGCAGTGTCATCATGTCCTAACAGAGGACAGGGTGCTTGGAAAATCGTATTATTTGCTACTGATTCTAACAGGATTAAAATATGGATGCCCAAATTGACATTTAAACAGAGATAGCAGGACCTTAATTTGTAACACGAGCACAGACAGATGGCAGTTGTGGTGGGAAGACCTTTTAAAAAAATCTCTCTGGTACAACAGAAGGGACTTTAATTTCCTTGTCTGAGCTGGATAATTAACAGTAACTGTTCTAAGTGGGATCTGGTAGAATGTAAGGACCTGTGGGTGGCTCGAATGCCATACCTGCTTTTAGCAGCTCTGGAACATTGCATCTTGGATACAGAGGTTGGTTTTACTCTGAATGCTGCGTTTTGTTGTGCGTTGTCACGCTGGATTATTGTATAAAGCAGCGTCACTTAAGCAAAACACGGGAAAAGCTTTTCATGACTTACCTTGAATGCGAGGCAGTTGCAGCCTAAGAACTGCTTTAAATTCCTCACCCTCGCAGGGCAGGGGGAGGAGCTGCTGCTGCCCTAATGCCACCCTGGCTCCGAGCTCGGGTATCCAGCACGGCCCCAACAAACGCCTTTTGAAAGCTCCACGCTGCTTTTCCCAAAGCCTGGTTCCCCAGGCTGAGCTTCTCAGTGTGCTCCCAGCTCCTTTAATTCACAGCCGTGCTGGGCCTGAGCTCGGGGAGCAGCAGATTCGTGCGAGGAGTTCCTTCCTGCTCTGCGGTGGCAAAAGGAAAAATGTGCTTTAACAGGCATTTAGTGTTCTATCCTCCTCCCACTTGTGTTACTTCAGGATGCTGGAGGCAGATGGCACAGTGCTCTTTGGATCTGTTGTTGGATCTGAAAAATTAACCCTCACAAAAGAAATTCCCTGATCATTTAAGAGCTAATTTGCTTTCCTATTAAGTAGATTTAATATCATGCTCTCAAAATACATTGTTGTCACTGCTTTGGACAGCAAAGTAGAAACGTGCCAATCTAAAGGTTTTTGGCTGTTCTCAGTTGTGTCTTGCTGATGTTTTAATTCCTTTGTAGAGCCTGCTACATGTTCCAAGGTTTGTGTGACTGATGGACTGCTGCAGGCTCAGCTCCTTGTTTTAGCTGGGGTTCTATCCCGTGCAAAACTGAAAGGGGCATTGCAAAAAAATATTAGTAAATTTGAGGCGGATTGATGTGTTTTCTTTAAGTCTGGCCCACATCTTTTGCCTGTGGCTGTTGCAGGCAGCCGACCTGCACTTGGTTTGCTGGTCAGAGCATCAAGGTTTGTGTGGAATTTTCCATGACTGCCTAAGCACTCTGATACATTTGTGGCAGCTCCCATTACAAAGCTGCTCTGCTTTTTCTCCTCCTTACAAAGCATTCTAGAAATAGCAGACAGATGAGCCAGTGTGTTCACTAAATGTGTTTATATAGTTAGTATGTAACATAGATTTAAATCCATGGAAGCATCCATTGCTTTTTCTTATTCTTGTAACGTTTACAAAGCAAATATATCTTTTAAGAGTAGAATATTTATTTCTGTTTAGCTTTCCTGGATATTTTCCACAAACTACATTCCTCTTGTTCTCAGTTCTGGCCATGGCTTCTGCAGTGTTTGTGCTCTGCCCCAGTGACAAGGCTGCTGTGCTGATGATCTGGGGTTTCTGTCATATTGGGGTTGTTCTTGTGAGGCTCTTTTTTGTTTGTTTTTTTTTTTTGTGTGTTCTTTTGTACCCTTTTACTTCAGGTCCCTGTTACTTGACCTCTGTGCCAGGTTTAAATTCACTTTTGTTAAATCTCTGAAAAATATACCACGTCTGTCATGCACTGAGAAGCAAATGAGGGAGAGGATGCTTCTCTGAGGTTGTTTTTAAAGGACGCTTCAATGGCACTGAAAAAAAGTCTCTCTTTTATGTTTGCATTTTCGGAGCCCCCAAATACCTGAGTTTCACGTGTCTCAAAACACTTTGCTGTCAGAAGAGAGGTGTGAGGGCAATGCTGTCAGGTGGTTTTGTGTTGCTTTCAATTGAACAGGACAATCTATTTCAGCTGCAGAATAATTTAACTTCATTGCTGCTGGCTGGTCCTTGTGTATGAGCTTGAGCAGAATTTTTATTTGAACCTAGACCTTCCTAAAATAGCCTTTTCTTCTCTGATGGTCCTTGTGTTTGGACAGCCTTTCCATTGTCACAAGCTGTCATTTGGCTGATTGGTCTCTCTTGGGTTGGGGGGGTGTCTTGCAGTTGGCTGATTGCAATTCTGGCTCAACTCAACCCTCTCTTTGGGCCGCAGTTAAGCAATGAAACAATCTGGTACCTTAGATATCACTGGCCTTGAGGATGTCTGTGCTGTGCTGCAGTTCATTGGCAGGTGAGTATGATCAGATTTATTGATATATTTGGTGTGTTAAAGCTTCAGGAGAGATTGAGTAGTAACATGAGCCGTGTGCTCAAACTGCTGTAGGTATTTCATAGGAAAAATATGTCTTTCTGTAGGCTGCAATAAAACATTTTGGATGTTAGTCTTGATTGGATACATGAAAAGCTTGAACTGAAATATTGGCAAGTTATTTTTCTTTCTCTCCTGTCGTGTAGTGCTGTGTTCAGGGCTTGTAAGGAGAAGAAAACATTCATTCCAAAAAAAACCATATAATTGAACTGGGGTAACATAAGTGGATTTCCTAGTCTTTGCCAATTGTTAAACCTCTCCTCGAGCCTGCTACCATTTAATCTAAGACCTGTCCTGATTTCCAAGGCAACACAGCATTACCCTCATTCATCTGGGAAGTTGGAATGGGAGCTGCCATTAGAATGTTCTTTATCTCCTGAGCTCACAGCTTGATGGTTTATTTTGTTTTTAATGACAGCCTGTGTGCAGCTTTAATCCCAGGGGAGCATGGTGGTTGCTATCTGGGCAGTGCTGCTGGAATGTGGTTCTTGCAGTTCCTGGGCTTTTGACAGGGCCAGCAAAAATAGTGTTGTACTAAAAGTATCTTGATGCTGTTTGGCTTGTTCAGGAGGGCAGCATTTGGAATTGAAGATTCAAATGAAGGAAATGCGGAAACAAGCAGCCATGATTATAATTTTTAAGCTGGTAACTGAATAATTAAACACATTTATTTTGTCTTTGTAGAACACAGCTCAGTACAGCAGGCAGTGCCAGTTGATGTTATAGCTCTGTTAAATGCTACCTGGGGAGTGTCCTGGACATTTGCTCCCCAGTTTCAGAGAAGGCTTCCTGGCAACTGGGATATTGTCAGACTGGGCCTGTGTGTGTGTCTGCAGCTCCTTTTAAGCACCAAGCAGAAGCTAAAGGTAGACTTGGCCCTGCTTCAACTCCAGGCCTGTAATTAGCTAAGTCAGTCAAGCAGAATTTTCTAGGAGCATTTTCACTGCTTGGGTGCTAACATATAATTAGTTAGCTAAAACAGAGAACAGTGTGTTTTGGTAATGGGCACAAAGATCCCTGAATCCCATAGGATGATTCAGTTGCCTGGGATCTGAAATTGGAGTTATCTGGACATAAAAATTGGGTTTCACAGTCTTCGTGTTGAAACCAGCAAGGACAGGCAGGAGGTGAGACACAACCTCTGGACTCCTGCTAACAGAACCAGGAACCTTTCCTCTCCATTTCAGTGAAGGATTTTCCAGAGGACTGGAGTTAAATTGTACCAAGGAAGAGAAGGAACTTGTGTGTTTGAAGCTGACTGCAGAGTTTCTGAGGAGCTGTAATTTAAAAACTTATTAATGGAGCATTTCAGCCCTGCGTAGCACATGCTGTTTTGTTACATGAAGAGTTTGTTTTAACCTTTCATCTGATTTTATTGGCTTGATTTTGGAACAAAATTAAGGTTGTTGTCTCTGAAAAAGAAAGATTTAGAAAAGTAAAAGCATATAATAATCCTGAAATATCTGTTCTTTGTTGTTTGAAATGTGCTGTCCCAGGTCACACCCCTGCAGTGTTGTTTGAGTGCTGTTGCAGGGCTGAGGTGCTCCACGTCCTGTCCTTGCTGCTGTGGAGTTTGTGCCTAGACAGGAGCTGTGAGTGAGATTCCATCTGATAAGAGCTGGGATATCTCTCTGACACTGCATGGATTTCCATCAGTGTAGCAACCAGTTATTTCTGGATTTTCAGCTGTGCTTTTCCAGCATTCAGGGAACATGTACTATACTTGTTTCTGCCTCCTGTTCCTTTCAGTTGAGGTTTGGGTGGACAAGTATGGAAAATGCAAGGAAAATAAAGTGCTAACTCCCAAAGTGGAAAGATCCTTAAAAATAAGGATGATTAAAGCAAACCCATTTTACTTCACTGAGCAGCCTGAAAGTGCTCCAGTGAGCTCCTTGTGTTCTGCTGAGGAACTCTGCATATGCTGGCTTGATTGATCTGTGCCAAATTCCACAAGTTTGCTCTGTGTTTTCAGGCAGTCTCCCTCCCATCCAAGGGATGATTTTATAGCAATTCAGTTGATACATCACCGAGTTAATGGCTTGGATGGCAGCGTGTAAGAGCACACAGAGCTCTGTAGCCATGGTGAATCCAGGCTGTGCACTATTCCAAACTGATCCAACAGTGCCTTTTCTCCTTAGCTTGGTGAATTCTCAGTCTGTGTTCTCAGAGCAGGAACTGTCTTTGTGCAAGTGGAGAAGGGCTGGCATCCAGCTCACTGGGTGCTGTTACAGCAATGAAAACATTTGAGGGAAATAGTTGTTCTACCAGCTTGTAATGTAACTAAAACTACTTGTAGTAACTTCAGAAATGAAACTGCCAAGAAAACATCCACACAGGTGAATTATCTCCAGTTCTTGACATTGCTCAGTGTGTTTGTGGAATGGAGATTGCTGTGGTTAACAGCCAGGCCTTCGATTAGCAAACTGTCTCCGTGGAAGGAATAACGAAGTTGCCTCTTGCTTTGCAGGTGAAGAAGAGATGAAAAGCTCCACTGACCCAAAGGTGCCCTTTCTGTAGCTGGTTGGATATGAAGCCTGCAGTAATGCCTTAACCTTTCTAATGTTCTTCAAGTGGCTTCTTCTAAATCCTGGTGTTTTTTCCTACTTTTCCATTTAACAGAGTGCCTAATGCAATTTATACTCCTCTTTGGTACTGTCAATTTTTGATGTTAACTCCAGATGTGATGAAAATTTCTGTTTTTACGGGTCATGGAATCACATTTCCTGTTCATTTTATCTGTAATAACTCTTTATATTTGCAGGTCTTAGTTTGTCTGTCATTGTGCTGTTCACCCCTGTTCTGTTTGCACTGGACAAAAATGTGCAATAAACTGTGTAAGGAGAGGAGAAAGATTGGTACCACGTGCTGATGGCAATTTTTTTTTTCCAAATGAATTGTATTCTTGAGAAATCTGGCCTTAAATTTCTCATGCCTGGAAATAAAACTAATCCTCTGCTTGATACAAAACGTTCTCGTGCCATGTTTAACTGTTATTTTTCTGTGTGTTTAATTGGATGCTTGGAGCTGAGCTGAGGATATTTAGATGATATGGATAAATTGTAATGAAGTTAAATAGTAGGAATAAATGGGAGATTGTTGCCTGTGTCGAGACCTCTGGGGTTTATGTATAATAGGATTAAATTTGTAATTTAAAATTGCTGAAAGGTGCAGGAATAAGTGAATGCTTGGCTTGAGAGCCTCTTTTCCAGGAACTTCTCATTGTCTGAGGGGTACTCAGAGTAGCAAAGGAAACATGGCTAATTTGAATGAAGCCTTCACAGTGATTTTGACAGGAGGCTGATTTAATCCCTGGCACATTTGGAGGATATTACAGGAGCAAATGGTTTGAATTGAACAGCAAACATTCCCGTTGTTTTGGACCTGAGCTTTGCACGTGGAATTGCAGACCTGGGAAAGCACATGGCAATGTAGGCAGGATGTTCCTGAGGCTCCTCAGTGTCAGCTGAGTCCGTGGGATTGGGGTGGATCTGGGCAGTTGTTTGCTGAGGAGCAGCTTCAAAGGGTATAAATGCTGCTCTCTGAATGCTTCCTTACCACGTGTCCAGATAAATTACAATTATTCCCTTTATTGCTGCGCACAAGGACATCATGGAATGGTTAATATTTTATTTGCTTTTCCCTCTTGGATAGCACCACTAACATGTTCAGTGGGACAGCACTCGTTACTAGACAGGAAATTCCAAATGTAACATGTAACATTGCAGTGATCCAAAACTGGACAGTGTGAATTGCAAAAGAAGGAAGAACGTGCGCCTTATTACAAATAAGCATAGCAGCTGTTGGGACTGGAATTTTTTTGACATGTTGCCTTCTAAAAGCCATATTTTACCATGCTAGATGTTGTACACCATCATGTTACACAGTCTGTACCAAAGAATTCCTAAGAAAATTTAAACCAAGTGATCATATAAAAACTTAAAGTTGTTTGATTTTTGAGGTGTGTGGAGAATAAAATATGTTGACATTGTATGGAAAGAGGGAGAGAAATACGCCAAGATGTCGTTGACAGATTTTAAGATTTTGAAATGTGTTGATCTGCTTGTCATATTTATCCTGAAGTGAAATACCCCAAGAGAAAACACTCAATGACAAACAGAGCTGTTTTTTGTGTTACCACTGTCTTTAACGAGCTTTCTATTTTAGGTTCTAAGCTATCACTCCGTCTAGAAGAGAGAAGTAAAAGAGTTCCCATGGGATGTCTCACTGGTGCTGAATTGAATGGAAAGAGATATTCCAAGCCAGGACAAAGAAGCCATAGAGCAGTTTTCACCTAGATGCTTCCCAGAATGACACTCCCCTTTTCCAGCGTGGTTAATATTTTTTCTGAAGTAGATGCCAGGTGGTAGCATGACTGAAGAAGCTAAAAGAATAATATTTTGTGTCTGTTCTGCTGCATATTGCATGGTGGTTGGGGAATGGTCTGCTCCTTGTGTGCCAGGAATTAACACTGCTTGGGATAATTTCTTTATTTTTTGCATGACTGCAGGAAATGAGAAGAGAGGGATTCAGCCACTGGTGCTGAACAAACAGTGCAGGTACCAGAGCATCTATCACGCATCCCTCTGTTGTCTGACAGCAACACAGAATGTTCAAGTGTAAAAGAAAGAAGTTTGTGCTTGAAATGGAAAACCTGTGCCTGTGTTGAAAGATATTTGGGTAAAAAATTAGGAAGGTGAAAGAAGCCGACTCCACAGTCAAGTTGTGAAGGCTTTTAGGTTATAAACTCTGGCAATGTATAGTGCGAGAATTCAGGTCAGGGTCATTTCAAATGCTTGTAACTGCTTTTGTTCATACTGTTTAGGAAATGCAAATATCTGCATCTCTGCCTGCCCCTTACAAGTAATTGTTCTAAAGACTTTATAGAAGTTTACTTTTCATTTAGTGGAAATCATGAAAGCATTCTACTCCTGTGAAGGGCTGAGTTATCAGAGATGGGCGGCTGCTCCCTTGTTCCCAGAATTAAATGTCATGGACTTTCTGGGGCAAAAATAGAAGAAATGGAGTGAAATGCAAAAACTTCTTTAAAGAATAGAAGACATTCTTTACAAATAGCAAGATAAAAACGGGTAGGTCTATTTTTTATTATGTTTAGTAGTTCATTATTTCTCCAGTTGTGTCCGAAGCAGTCACCAGGCCAGCCACCTGTCACTATCAGAGGTGGTTGTGCATGTAGCTAAGGACAGTAGGAAAAATACAGAACTGGAGGTGTGAGACGGACAGATGAAGGGGTGAGTACGCGAGTGGAGCCGCAGAGCGACAGGACCGGGCTGTAGGGAACTCGAACCCGGCACCACCTCAGGACCCGCGGCCGCGCCTCCGCCCCGCCGCGCTCTGCCCGCGGGCACCCGCCTCCCCGCCTTAAATACCCCCCGCGCGCCGCTCCGCCGTCACGTGGCAGTGACAGCCCGCTGCTATTGGCTGGCGCAGCCCCCTTCCCCCTGCCCCCTCCCGTGCGCGCCGCCCCCTCGGGCCACGTGAGGGGCGAGTCACGCGATTTCCGGGAACCCGTCAGGAAGGGACATAAACAAACAAACCCGGGGCCGCATGGAGGGGCCGGGCCGGGCCGCGCGGGGCCGCGGCCCCCGCTGAGCGCCGTGAGTCGGGGGCTGCGGGGGGCTCCGCGGGGCTGCGGGGCACCGAGAGGGTCGGGGTGGCGCCGTGGGAGGAGGCGGTGCCCCCGGGCAGGGGGCTGCAGGGAGGGAGAGAGGGAGGGAGAGCGGCACAGGAGGTGTCCGCCCGGCTGCCGAGGGCGGCGGGACGGGGATGCTGCCGGCGGCCCCTCCGCTCCGCTCCGCTCGCCCGCCGGGGGGGTGTGGCTGCCGCGGCCGCGGGAGAGCAGCGGTGCTCGGGGGGTGGCCGGTCCCGGCTCCGGGGCCCGCGGCCGGGCTGAGGGCGATGAGAAGGGGCTGCAGGGGCGGACGGAGCGCGGGCTGAGCCCGGAGTCGGCGGCGTTGCCCCCTCCGGCCTCGGCCCGGCAGGAGCGGCCCGTGCCTTTACAAGGAGAGCGAGCGCCGGGAGAGGAAAGCGCCGTCCTGCCGGGGGAGCCCGGCCGCTCTGGGTGTGCGGGCGGAGGAGAGGGGAGAGCAGGGTTCAGCATGTCCTGCGCTCCTGCCTTTCGGGCTCCCAGTCACCTGCTCCGTTCGCGACCTGTTTGAATGCCCGGCACGGCCGGGGCTGACCGGTGGGCGTGCGGGGTCTCTGTGCCCGGGGGTGTCGGTGCCCGACGGGCGGCTCCGCTCCGAAAGCTGCGGAGCGGAGCTGCCGGAGAGGGGTCACCGCTCTGCGAGTGCGGGGCAGGACGGGACCGTGCCCGCTCCGGCGCGGCGTTTATGTAACGACAGAGCGGAGGGGACGGCTGTTCGCTGCGAGCCGCCGCTCCGGGAAGCGGCTCCTCTCGGGCAGCGCGGGTGCGCTCCCCCTGACACGGGGGTCGGCGGGCAGGAGCCGCTCCCCAGCCTTGGGACAGGGCTCCCTGGGCGGTGTGCCCGGCGCGGCGGGGCCGGGGGGTGCGCGGGGCGGCGGGCGCGGCTCGGGGGGCGCGGGGCCGCGGCCGGGGCGGCGGGAGGGGGTTTGTTTACATGTCGCCTCACCCTAGCTTGAAAGGGCCGCTGGGCGGCTGAGCGGCGGGCGCGGCGGCCAATGGGAGCGCGCGCGGCGGGGCAGCCAGCCAATGAGCGGGCGCGCGGGGCGGGGCGGAGGCGGCCGCGGTAGGCTGCGCTGGGCGGCGGGGCGGCCATGTTGGCCGGAGGTGTGTTAGTGGGTCAGGGCCGGGCCGGGGGACGCCGGCGGGGCCGCGGCTGCGGCGGCCGCCCGCGCTGCCCGTCCCTCCGCCGCGCTTCGCCTCAGCGGGGCCGTCCCACCAAGCCGTGGGGACCGGCCCGGGGCGGTGCCCCGCGTTCCGGGGCGCGTTCCCGGCTCCTGCTCCCGGCCCGTCCCCTCAGATTTGGGTTGTGAAACATCCTCAGGAGCCGCCCGCGGGTCCCGGCGTGTCCCCACACGCGGTGTCGGACACCTCTCCGTGTCGGCGCTAAGCTCACGCAGGTTCCCAGCCGGGAGCACCTTGATTAAAGCCCCTCGTGTCACCGCAGACTCAAACCCAGTCTTTATTATTTAATTTTCGTCCCCAAGGTCCCCACCCCGGGCGTTATTCCCCACCCGCGGCATCGCTGCCGTGCCCTCCCTCGGCCCTGGCAGCCCCCGGCATTTCCCAGGGCAGCGGCTGCTGGAAGGGATCCGCTCTCGGGGATAATTCCGCCGGTGTGGGACACACGGTGTTTATTTATTCAGCTTCCCCATGCAACAGGCTGCAGCTCGGAGCACTGGCGCTGCCAGCCGAAATGTGCGATTCTCACTTAAAGTGATCGTGATCTTTCTGTTGCTGCCACAACAGAGGGTGGCAGGACAGAATCAGATACTCGTATCGTCTTTTAAACACTTCTAAATGTTTTAAAGATTGTGTTTAAAAGGCTTCTGAGGTCGCTTCCGAGCATCCTTGTGGGGTAGGTTAATTATGAGTATTATTAAATGTGTTTTCGTAGTAAAAATTACAGAGAGCCAGACACAGGTGCTTTAGAAATGTGGTCGATTTCTATTGTTGGCTGCTTAAATGAGAAGGCAGAATTTCTATGGAAAATAAATCATAGAATCCTTGAATGGTTTATGTTGGAAGGTTATTTAATTTCAACCCCCTTCCATGGGTAGGGACACCCTCCACTGTCCCAATGTCCCACCTGGCCTTGGACACTTCCAGGGATCCAGGGGCAGCCACAGATTCTCTGGGTATGATGGTTCTGCAAGAAACCTTTCCTGCTAAAATAATTTCGGTGAGATTTCCTTTCTAAATGAATAAATAACAGTAGCTCAGAAACATCAGACATGTCCATAGCAAGTAGCTCACCTGAGCCAAGAAGGAATTTTATTCTGTGTTTGATGGGAGTATTCCCTGATAAGAGCAATCCGCAGCAGAGGCATCAGGTCTCCTGAGCATCCTCCCCGGTGGTTTTTAAATAATGAGAGTAGCAAACAGCCTGTGAGGACAGAGATTGAAGTCAGCATGAGCAGGAATTAATTGGGAACAAACAGAAGCTTTTGTCCCACTAATAGCTGATGGGATAAATAAGAAAACCCACAGGTTTACATTCCCATAGCCTGCATGTCCACGCTCTGTGATTTGGGAAGTTCAACTGAATGTTTTAACATCAAACCTTGATCAGGAGATTTGGCATTGCATAAGAATTGCTTGAGAGTCGGCATTGGCATGAAAGTTAAACCAAAAGTTTTGTTACAATTGTAAATTTAAGGTTTAGACCTTGCTGTAATAATTTCCCTGAGTTTTTTTAAATCCTGGTTTTAAACTCTTAAGCCATGTGTTTTTTACAATTTTGACTGATGCATTTTTTGAGTTTTCTGCTGGCTTTGAAGTATTTGGTACGGATGCCCTATTTCTAAATTCTGTATCAGAGTATAACAATTGTAATTTCACAGTACGAAGAATGGACCAGACTGTACCGTTCCCTTCATCATAAGACTTGTGTTGCTTTTTATTTTTTCCTGGAAACGACAGAATTAATTTTTCCCTTAATCTGAAAGACTCTGTCAGAAAAAAATATAGGAACAGCCATCCTGTCAGGATATAGAATATTGCTGGAAATTGGAAGCTGAATCATTGTTTAGTTTTGCTTTTATTTGTTTTATTTGTTTGCCTTTGCTTTCACTCCACTCTGCTTCAGGGGAAATCTACACCTTGAAAAAATAAAAGTGTTAGTTTTTCTACTAATTCTCATGTGCAAACAACTCTCCTTGCTCATCAGTGTTATTTTAATAAGGTTTATGCTATGACTATTTTAAATTTAATATTTTTTTTAATTTATTTAAAGCTGTTAATATAATTTTAATAAGTTTAAAATGCTGCACATCCCACTCTTGGCACTAAAATAAGAATAAAATCTCTGTCTCTGTTCCAGAACATACAGAAAAGTCCTTCTGGTAGGAATATATTGAGCTGGGCATAGTTGTCACAAAATATGTGGATGCAGAATGTTTGTTAGTATAAAAAGTTAATTGGCATTGGCATGGGGGGCTCCATGAGTTCTGTGCTGTTTTGGGGACTCATGGGCTCTGCTGCCTGAGGAGTTTTGTGTGTGGTTGCACACTAGATCATTTCTTTAGAGGTATCACTTCCAGGTCTTGAAGTCTGTCTGCTGTGGGCGAGTAGGATTGGAAAAATAACACTGGAGGGGGAAGGGATGGTCAGTGGAGGAACAGGAACAGAGACAGTGAAGTTACAGCTTCCCCTCCTGAAGGGAAGAGGCTTAGAAGAAGTGAAAGAAGTATCTTTAGTTCTTTTAAGTGCCAGTGCTCCATCAGACTCAGCGTCTGGGGGTTTTAAGCAGGTGTAATTTTCTCTCCAGGACAGAAAAAGCAAAAAGCATAATGCCTTAGATGCTTGTGCTGACATTTTAGTAGAAATCCTTCATCGACAAGGGGGACTTGGCTGCTTTTGTGAGTCCAGGAATGAGACTGCGGTGGGTGGAAATACAGGAAGACATTTTAAAAGACTGTCTTTGCTCACTGCTATGAAATAATAATCATAGTACTGATAAACGTAGTGTCTTTGTGGTGGGGGAGAAAAAAGAATTTTTTAAAGTCTGGATAATCATTGAAGAATCATGTAGAAATTAAAAAAAAAAAAAGGGAGCGTTATTCAGGAACAAAAGTAAAAAACATAAACATTCATTGAGGTTGGGAAAGTCCTCCAAAGCCATTGAGTCCAACCTGTGGGGGTTTCCCACCTTCTCAACCAGGCCTGGAGTGCCATTTCCAGATGTTCCCTGGACACCTCCAGGGATGGACTCCACCCCGGGCAGTCTGCATGTTCTCAGCTTGGAGGCTGCCCTGAGCAGAAGATGTTCTGTAACAGAAAACAAGTTGGCACAAACGGTGGAAGGAAAAAATGTTTTTAAGCGATGTGCAGGAGAACTTCTTGCATCTCTAACTCCAGTATTTCATAAAATGTCCAGATACAGCAAACAGTGCAAGGTACGTAATGGTTCTTTCCAAGCACATGGTGCAGATTTTGTGCTTTCTCTGAAATTCAGAGCTAGCCATGAATGTTTCAGCCTGAGCTTTTAGGTTTAGTACTGGCAGGCTCTCGTGAACTATTTTTTTATACCTGCATCAAAATTGTGACTTTGACAAGCTGTGCTGTGTGATGCAGTCACCACCGTGAAAGTGTAATTGTTCCTGTAATGCACTTACAGCAGGCATTTAGCTGCTGGGATAATGAGCACTGTGCAGCCAGCAAAACAGCACAGCCACGCTCCATGTGCCTTTCCAGTGGTACAAAATACCCAGCTGAACTGGGCCAGAAATAGCAACTTTCCTTACAGCCACGGCACAAATGACTGACACAGGTAACTGAGGAAGATTTTCAGAGGTGCTAAGCTAAAAGCTGGATTTTTGGGTTTTCTCTTCGAGGGGCTTCTTTGGAGGTGCTGTGTTGTGGCAGGAGGGTGTTTTAGTGGCCCAAGAGGCAGCACATGCACAGGAGCTGCACTGTGTGTCCTAAATGCTGCATATTTGGAGTTTAGCTCCTGCTGCAGGCTGGGTTAGACCAGTAATCCCAGGTAATGCACCTGCTGCTCCCCTGTGGGAAACTCATCTTCCTGGGCATCCTGGAACCACTGTTCCTCTTCAGAAACTAAATAATAAATACAGGGGATCATTTTTAATTAGGATTTGTCATTAGATTAATTAGGTGTTAACTCCACAGAACAAGCTTTGGTTCCTTGTTGATGGCTGATGGGATTTTAACCAATGTACATGTGCATGCCTCCATCAGTAGCCCGGATTCCTAAACGTTAGAGGGACACATCTGTTCCTGAGATCACAGAATCATGGAATGGTTTGGGCTGGATGGCACCTTAAAGATTATTTCATTTTAACCCCCTTCCACTATCCCAGCTGGCTCCAAGCCCTGTCCAGCCCAGCCTGGAACACTTTCATGGATGGGGCAGCCACAGCTTCTCTGGGCACTCTGTGCCAGGGCCTCACCACCCTGGCAGGGAGGAATTCCTTCCCAAAATCCCATCTGACCCTGCTCTCTGGCAGTGTGAAGCCATTCCCCTTGTCCTGTCACCCCATCCCTTGCAGAGTCCCTCTCCACGTGTGTTGCAGGTCCCTCAGTGCCCTGCCCTTCCTCAGGCCCCAGGGAAGGCTGGAGCCTCCTCCCAGGAGCAGAGCTGGGCACTGATGTGACTCCAGACCTGCAGACACAGAACCAGCTCCAGGCCTGGCTCTTAATCACCTTGATCTGATTTCCCTGCAGGCTGTTGCCAGAGGAGCCAGCACCCTGCCTGCTGTTCGGGCTCTGTATTCCACCTGTGCCTCTGCATTTGGGAAGGGCTGATGGAAGGCATTAATGGAAATTGTCCTGAAGTAGAAATTCCTGCTATATTTATCTTCAGTAATTCTTCGTGCTGCTGTACTTGAGCTCTGCCACAGCACTTTTAGTTCATTCAGAACTGCATTCATTATAGATAACACAACAGCTGGACTATTCTTTTCTAACTCAGTCTTGGGCTGAAAGTGCCAGTAATGATAAATTCTGTAAGAATGGGATTTTAACTGCAGTCTACAAATTACTTTCCTTCACAGCAAGTTCCGATTTGACACCTGTGCTCCCATATGTGTCATTGATTTGTGCCTTACATCTTTATTTACCAGTTCGTGAAGAAACACTGATAGTTAGGTGTAAGCAGCAGGAGGCTTTTAATGATGACCTTGATCTTTCTGGGAAATTTGGAAAGCAGTTGGAAGCAGGGCTGCTTTGTTTGGAGCATGAAGGATATCTGGATTGTGCAGCTCCCTGAGGCAATGTCTTTCTCATCATGGCCTCACTGTGTTTTCCCCCTCCACAAAGCTGCTGAGAAAAATCCTACATCGTGGAATAGTTGACTAGATGCTATTGGGATTCAAGTCACATTTAACTATTAATATTATAAAATGTCAAGAATGAAATATAAAGAGAATTACGGAAATAATTGGGTTAGCTGATACACTGCTTTGACCTGAGAGGACATGCACTGGCATTCTTAAATAGTGCAAGAAGCTTATCACTCCAGTCTTGGTGATGGTAAAAGTATTCTGAGCCTTGAATGTTTGTTTTGAGGATTTGGAAGTGATCCCAAAGCTGGCACCTGGAAGTGTTGGCTGGTTGGTACTGAAATCAGTGTCAGTAGAGATGAAGTTTCACCCCCTTTGCTGGCTGTGTGTGGAACAGCTTGTCTCATGTTGTGACAAAAAAAAACATGACAAAGAATAGCCAGTGAAGAAGCAGCAAATGTTTCCTTTCTTTGCCCTTTGTGTCATGGACAGCTCTGGCAGTCTCCTTGTGAATGCAGGAGGTGGTTTGGTGGTGATGTCAAAGTATTAATCTGATGAAAAAAGGCATCAATCTCATGGAAAGAAAATGCTCATATATTTAGAATCATAACCTTGCCTCTCTCCTTGTGTCTGAGAACACCCCAGTGTTTGTTTCGAAGAACAGGCCCTTTCTCCTAGCCCAGGTGAAGTGACTCAGTCATTCCTGCCCCGTCCCCACCTGGGAAGGACCATCCTGCTGTGGTGTGGCCTTTGCTGGGTGAAGGGAGATGGGGCTTGCTGAGGCACAAACTTCACTTTAAATGTCACTTTTAAATAACTAAAGGGTTCCCTGGAGGTTTTGGAGCAGAAAGGAGCTTTCCTCACAAGGAGCTGGCTCGTTCACCACAGGGCCCTGTGAGGAATGGCTGCTCTGGCCGGGGTGGTGAGGGTTCAGCTGAGAACTCCTGTGTAACTGGACCCAGAACTGTTGTTCTTTATATTCCAGCTGCTCTTTGCAAAGCAGGCTGTTTTGATAAGTAAAGGCTTCTTTGCATAGTGTCTGTTTTTACCACAGTCTGATAGTCCATATGCTAAAGAGGACAAACTAGCTGAGATACCATCTGAAAGTGGGAATAATCACGGGGATGCTGTCATGTGCTGCTGGGGGAGGGTTCTGAGCTGTGGGAGAACACTTAGAGTTTACTATTTGTTTTTAAAATAGGAGAATAAACACAGCCTGAGCAGATTGCACCAAAGTCTGACTTAGGAGCAATGCTGAGTGAGGGTTTTCCTTACACTGTTCAAAAAGCTCAGAAGAGTCATTAGACAAACATCTGAAGTAGAGCGGGTCAGTCGAAACTCTTAAACTGGCAAAACTACCAGTAGATAAATTTGTCCACTTTCAAAATATGCCTTACTTGAATTAATAGAGAATGTATTTTATTGGACAGCTGTGAATTTGGCAGTTTTTAATTTGTTCTCTTGGGGAAATCTGTCTGTTCCACTCTGCTGCTGGATGATTTCTGTGATCCTCTACCACTAGATGTTGCTGTGTGAGTGATTGATGTAATCTTATCTGATACTGGATGGATTCATCCCTTAAAAAAGGAGATACCACTGAAACAGCATTTCTGCCTGCTCTGAAATTTGTATTTTGAGACTTTTGCCTAAGACATTTTTAGAGTTCATTGGCTCTGTTACATTAGTCATAAAGGTTGTCTCTCTATTGGATACCCAGCAGTGTGCTGATTATTGTTCCCAATTTGGCAGGGTTTTCTCTTCAGGTGTGTCTGTAGAGCTGCTGGTCTCAGCAGAGAGGGAAAAAGGCGACAAAATGTAACTTGGCCAAAAATATTTTTGCAGCAGCTCTGTTCTGTAGCATCTGTGGCTTTTCATTCAATGAAAGATGGCAGGCAAAGAACATTTCTATACATTCCAGCATGAGAAAAAAAATCAATTTTCAAGGAAAATTCTTGCCTTTGGCTGTCTTTTAAGCTTTCACCTTGTTGGTGAAGGATTACTCACCGCCTTGGGGGTTTGCTGTGTTTATTCTGCACAGAAGTCGACAAATAGAAAAGCTCCATCGGGGTGAACTGAAGTTATCCTAAGGAAAAAATTTCATTGCATGGACAGTGTAAACTCCCTAAGACTGAAGTAAAGCTGGAAAGGAATCTACAAGTGAATAAAACAAGAAGTTTGGAATTGGATTTGGGGAATCTGGGCTTGGAAATGCCTCAGGTAAGTCTGCTAGGATTTTATTCGCTTCTGTAAATAATTTTGCCTCTGTTGAAGAACAAATTGCACCAGCACCAGGAGAAGAGATGTGTAAGAGATTACAGGATGTATATTTTGTAGGGTCCTGTAGTGTCTGTGGTAGAAGCTGTGGTGCTGCTCTTGGTCCTGTGTTTGTTGAAGCTTCAGCCACGTTGTCTGTGGGTGAGGGAGGATGCCTGGAGAGCAGAACAGCCTTTTATTACTGCAGTGATTCACACCCAGCACACTGAATGACTTTCAGCAGCACAGTGTTTCTGCCTTCCCAACCCTCAGGGTGAGAGTGTCTAGAAGCGAAATTGAGGTCTGGAATTAAATGTAGCAGAAGGCCTTGCTGCCCATTCCCTGCATGCCCAGTCATCCTGCATAATGCTTTTTTTTTCCAGATTTCATTTTGTTCTTGAGAGAGAGGTAACAATCTAGATTTAGTTGTCATAAATTTTGCTTCCCTTACAATTTTATATGGAAGTTTTATGAGTTCTAATGGCTTTAAACACAGTCAACACTGCTTTAGCACGAAATGATTTGTATTAGAGAGACTCCCAGATCTTGCCAGTACTGGCCCTCATCCTCTACAAAAGCCAGCATGTCCCAAAATTTGGCAAACATAAGACTTTCAAACCAACAGGGAAGAATGAAGGAGCAGTGAATGCTCTTGCAGCTCTGTGGTGGATAGAAATGTGTGCTTTTATTGCTCCTGCATGTTGTCAGCTGCTCTTGAAGTGTTTTCTGACTCTGGGGAACGATGTGCTTATCTGTGGTGGTAAAAACCTTCTGAGACAGGGAGGAATGGTGATCCTCTTTGTTGTAGATGAAAATGTGCCTTTTTATATCATGTTTGAAATGTCTGTCCATTGTGTTGTAGCCCAGTGTGAGTGGAATGGACCCTCCTTTTGGGGATGCCTTTCGGAGCCACCTGTTTTCAGAGCAGACTCTGATGAGCACGGATCTCCTGGCAAGCAGCTCGGATCCAGACTTCATGTATGAACTGGTAGGTAACCTGTGTGTGCCCAGAATTTCATCTCCTTGGCTGACACCAGTTCTTGTAGGAATAAAGGGCTGTTGGTTCAAGAATGCTGGAAAATTATCCATTATTGCTGGCTGCTGATTAGGGAAGAGCTGGACTGCTTGTCCAGCAAGTGTGATGCTTCTACAGCAGGCACTTCTTCAAACAGAGTCAAATCCAGCTTCCAGTAGTGCTCCAAGCCCTGTCCAACCTGGCCTTGGACACTTCCAGGGATCCAGGGGCAGCCACAGCTTCCGTGGGCACCCTGTGCCAGGGCCTGCCCACCCTCACAAGGAGGAATTTCCCCCTGCTGTGTTCTGCTTCACCCAAGCTGTGAATGCAGGGGCAAGGAAAATAAAAGTTGACTCACAAGCTACTTATATGAGCATTCCCTTTTTCATTTTCTCTGTGCTTCAAAGGAGAAAGGTCACTCGTGGTCATTAATCGGTCATGTTAGAATGAGGTTTTCCAGGAACTGGTAAACTCAAGCATATTCTGCTAAGCACACAGTTTGACCTAGATTATAGAGATGCCTGTGATGTCTTTCATATTTTAAATATATGGATATTGGTACTGGTTTAGTTCCTGATGAGCAGATGGATTTGCAATAGCAGGGAAACACAGTGTTATAGGAAGAGCTGTGTCTTCAGAAAGACCTGTTGCTGAAGCACACAGGAGCTGAGCTTCATTCTGACCTTCAAAAGAAGCTTTTATTGGAATTTGAGGTTTCTTCCTATGTCACCACTATCTCATACTTCATTGGAGTTGAGCTGTCCTTACCAGATTAAGTAAAGAGATGATGGATACTTTTCTTTATTAACTTTCAACTTATCTTACTGTGCACAGGACAGAGAAATGGACTATCAGCAAAGCTCCAGGGACAACTTGCTTTTCATGGAGGACTGCAAAGACCTTGAGAACTTGGAGTCTTTTACAGATGTCCTGGACAAAGAAGCTGCTTTCACCTCCAAGTGGGAACAGTGGGATACCTACTGTGAAGACCTAACTAAGTACACTAAATTAACCAGCTGTGACATCTGGGGAACAAAAGAGGTGGATTACCTGGGCCTTGATGACTTTTCAAGCCCATACCAAGATGAAGAGGTGATAAGCAAAACACCCACACTGGCTCAGCTGAACAGCGAGGACTCCCAGCCTGTCTCAGATTCACTCTACTACCCTGATTTGCTCTTTAGTGTAAAACAAAACCCTTTAAACTCTTTGTTACCTGGCAAAAAGATGGCGAGCAGAGCAGCGGCGCCGGTCTGCTCCTCCAAGAACGTTCAGGCCGAGGCCGCGCTGTCGGACTGTGCCCAGAAGGCCAGCAAGCCTGGCAGCCAGCCTGCTTCCAGTACACAGATCATGGCCAAGACCAACGTGTACAGCAGTGAGAAGGTGAACATTCACGTGGAATGTAAAGACTATGTTAAAAAAGCAAAAGTAAAGATCAACCCCTTGCCGCAGAGCAGGCCCGTGCTGAGCCAGGCGCACGCTGACGCAGCCAAGGAAAACACCTGCTACTGTGGGGCTGTAGCAAAGAGACAGGAGAGAAAAGGACTCGAGTCCCCCCATGGGCACAGTACAACTCCTGGTTTGCCTTTTAAAGAGACTCAAGAGCTGCTCCTCAGCCCTCCCCAGGAGAGCCCAGGGCTGGCCGTGGGGGAGAGCAGCCTTTCCGCCAGCGCGTCCGTGTCGGACTCCTCGCAGAAGAAAGAAGAGCACAATTATTCTCTTTTTGTAACAGACGCTTTGGGTGAGCAGTCAGTCAAAGCAGAGCCTGAGGAAGAGGAGGAGGATGAGGATGATATTGAAGATGAGGACCACGATGAAGGCTTTGGCAGTGAGCACGAGCTGTCTGAGAACGACGACGAGGAGGAAGATTACGAGGACGATAAGGACGACGACATCAGCGATACCTTCTCAGAACCAGGTACCAGCATGGCTGGGCTTTGGTAACGTGGGGGTTGATGGGTTTGTCCTCTGAGTGGGAAGGAAAGCTTCTGAACTCCTGGTAGTTACAGATGAGCAGCACTGATCTTCAGTTGTGAATTCTCCTCCCACGTTTTCTAAGTGCTTTGCAAAATGCAATTTATTCAAAGTATGCAAAGTCTCTGTTGCCCTCTTTCATGAAAAACTGCATAAAGTGTGGTTGTGCAACAAAAATAATAAGTACAGGAAGCCCAGCTGTAGCCTGAGGTTCGAGCAGCTGCCTAAAGTGTGCCTTTCTTTTTTTATTGTAGCTCTCTAGTAGGGTGTGCAGAGCTTCCTAGCACTTCTTGTATCTCTGAATTTATCCAGAGTTGGACCTGTCAGGATGAAATCGCATCCTGAGTGAAATGACTTCATAATTATTTAAGCCCTATTTTCAGGTACAGCTTTTCCACAGAATCCAAAGAATGACTGAAATTAATATAAAAATTTCTAGGTGGTTTTCAGCAGTAACAGTGGGGCTTCAGAGGATACTGAATTCCTCTCTCCTACCTTTAAAAATGGAGTTCTAAGAGCAGGAATAAGAACTAACCTTCACCTAGAAGGTAACAAAACAGTAACACTGTGTAAAAATAAAATCTGCACAGAATTGTAACCAAGTATTAATTTGACTTCAGAAAGTATTACAATATTCACATCTTAAAAATGCCCTGTAGTAGAGAATAAGAATTAAAGTATTCAGACATTTGGCAATATGAAACTTCAGGGGAATAAAGCAGCTGAAATTTTTCCTTGTTGAGAACAGCAGCTTCCCTAAAGCTTGTCAGTGTTTGTCATAATGAACTCTCAGATGAAATTATTTTCTAATTAGATTTCCTGCGTTGGTATTAAACTCGTTAAGCATTCTGCCCTTTATGCTACTTTCACATGCACACAACACATTTTTATTAACATTCTGAAGCTTCTTCCTCCCTTCTGGAGTGAACTCCCTCTGCTTTCTGGGGCCCTGAGCAGCTGTTCCAGCTCTGCAGCCCATGGGGGATGTGTTGCACTGGGAGCCTGGGATCCCTGAAAAAGAGAGCTTGTGTTAAATGCTGTGGGTGGAATGAATTAATTAATGACTTTACTGACCAGCAATCCACATTCTGCAGCAGTAGCTGAGGATCTGGGCTTATCCAAGCTTCCATGAATGAAGCCTAAAACCATTCACCTCAAATGTGGCGATATTAAAAATTTTATCATAAATTTTGTCTGTTTGAGGAAATAATATATCCAGGTATTCTATTCATGTCACTCTTGTATTTTGTGTTGCTTTTTTACCTCTAAAGGTAAATACTATGGGTAAAGTATCTAAAAATAGGCACAGCACAGAAAAATTAAACCTTCCACAGGTCTGAAAGCAAAATCAGTTGGTATTTTGAGTGAGGATATAATTTACTGAAAGGACAAAAATCTGCTAGTTATTGCTGACCTTCTGTTGGCTTTTTATACATCATTGGCTTTTGGTTATTCTTCATGTATGCTCTTAGAGTGAATGAAATGCTTTCTTCAGGTGTTATCTGAGAAAATATTTAGTTATAGTGAAGGAGAAACAGCTAAAAATATGACTGGCTCTCAGGCAAGTTTGGACAACAGTGTTTTTATTATCACCATGACACAGATTTAGCAATTTTGGTCCCCTGCAAAGGTAATTTATTATGGGAATTACCAGCCCAGGCCTCTTCTAGCATTATATGTGGTGGTTTTGCTATTACTGAGTTTATTTTTCCTATCTCATTTAGTAGAAAGACTTCTAAATGAATGTTCCTGCTGTCGAGTAGTCAGGAGATTGCAGAAATGAGAAATGCAGCAATCTATTCCTTTGTCAGTAGCACTGGAGAAGAAATGAGTGAAAAAGTGCTCCTAGAGACACAGATTGTTTTAAGAAGCTGCATTAGGTCAGTCTGAGCAGCTGGAGCATCAGCTGGGGGAAAAACCCTGGGATTGATTTGCCAGAAGCCTCTGTGGTGAAGAGGAGGAGTTCTCTGGGGTTGTTTCAGTGTGGCTATTTTTGGGTTTCACCTGGTGAGATGCAGGAGTCACGTTCTCTGTTCTGCTTCATTTAACCCTGGTGAATTTAAACCGAAAACCACAGGGAGGGATGTGAAGGAGCACTTTTAGGAGGGGGTTGTGAAGGGCTTCAGAGTTAAACACAAGAACCCTTTCAGATTTCTTAGAAGCCTGCCCTGCTGTGTGATCCTTGCTAAGAGGAGGAATAAATCCAGTGCAGAGCAGCTGAACAAGTTTATGTGTTAGGTTAGGACACTGCACTGGGTTCTTTTATGTAACTTTATAATGGCAGCAGGTCAGTGTTGGGCTGGCAAGGCAGGATGTATTAAGTCAATGTAATTGAAGTTGCTAACTTAATTACGGTTTGAATAAGCAAACAGGAAGTCCTGATTTTAACCTTATTGTACATTTGTACCCTTCAGCTCTTACAGAGATTTGTTTTCATTGGTTGGATTAATTCTGTGTTATCATGAAGATGGGTTCAATTTATGTATTTCTGTAGAATGAGTTACATAGGTTTTTTTTAGGTGGAAATCAGTGGGCTTTTTGAGTGCATTTTGATACTTCTGTCAAACAGCATTTGAGTAAAATGGAGCTACAGTTACAAATATTTATGGTATTCGAAACTGTATTTAATGTAAATTGTCAATAATTTTGGCTATACAGCACAAATGTTTTAAAAAGCATGTTTCATTGTTTGGTTTGCCTTTAAAATCCTGCCTTTCCAAACCAGAGAACCCAAGTAAGTGAATTGATGAGATTGTGAGAAACAGAACTTCAGGATGGATTTCATCTTTCTGCATACCTGACTTGTATTCGTGCTTTGGGTTATGATGCGAGAGTCAAACCAAAGCAAGAAAGTTTGTTTTTCCTCTTTCAACTGCTTTTTCAAGTGCAAACAGACTAATTGAATGGACTGTTTTAAAAGGAAGAAAGTGTTCTTTGTGCTGCTGGAAGATGAAGCAGAGCTGAAGCATATGGGGTCAAGGCTTGCTAAGCCTGCCGTCCATGCATGGGTGGCTTTATATTTTTCCTTTAGCTCCATCACAGTATGTGATGTTTAGAAATGTTCCTTTTTTGAGTAAATGTAAACAGATATTTAACATTTCAGCACAAAAGGTCATGCAGTGGTTTGAGATTTTTTTTTAACCTTAGTATAGATTATTTTCTAAAGCATATCTGGGGTTTGAAAACCTGTGGTTTGGGTTTACATAATTATGGTAGAATATTTCTGTGATGTGAGCAGTGGCATTGCAATTTCCATGTCCTTCATGAGCAATTCATGGTATCAAGTGCATCATAATTCACCTTTAAAATACTGTTACAGCGTTACTGAGGGTCATTTCTTCCCATCCCACTAAAGAGGAGGAAGAGGTTGAACAGTGGGTCCAGATCCCTCCACCTTAGATGGTCCTTTGGTCACTGTCCTGATAACAGAGACCCTTTCTCCAGCCTAGGAGGGTTCAGTGCTTGGATTTATTCCCTGCAGGTCTTTGGAGCCAAGGAGTGGCAGGAGTTGGACTCGATCCTGTGGGCTTCTTCCAACTCAGAGTGTTCTATAATTGAATAATTTTTTACTTTATTGTCTTTTGCTAATCCATCTTTATTTAATCTGCTTCTCTTTCCATGCTTTTTGTCAAATGTGGAGGTGAGTTAGGATTGTGTTCCTGCCAATTCATGGAGGAAATTGTCAGGATGGGTGGACGTGGTCCAACATCTGCTGTCTGTACTTGACACTGCTGGGTTTGTGGGGGACTACAGCTTAGGGGGTCAGAGAACATAAAGGGACTTTAAATGCATAAATAATTTTGGTTTTTTCAACTAATGAAGCCCCATCAGTAGCTCAGTGTCTACCCTGGACTTCAGGCAAATACCCAGGAGCAGCTGATGCTGGGAACCGAGTGTTAAATAATGCAAAACAGAGCTGGCTGTGGTTTTGCTCTCAACTTGAATCCTCAGTTTGCTGCTAAAGGGCTACAAACAATTCTGTCACCAGCATATAAACAACCCCCTGCATCCTTTTAGGGTATGAAAACGATTCTGTGGAGGATTTAAAAGAAACGACTGCAATATCCTCTCGGAAAAGAGGCAAGCGAAGATACTTCTGGGAGTACAGCGAGCAGCTGACGCCGTCCCAGCAGGAGAGGATGCTGAGGCCATCCGAGTGGGACAGGGACACCCTGCCCAGCAACATGTACCAGAAGAATGGGCTCCACCATGGTAAGAAATCCTCAGCCTGGTCACAAATGGCTGTCTCCTCCTTGTGACACCTTCAGCAGCCAAAATCCCCTCCTTGCAAGTGCTGAGTTGTGTTTTGGCTATGAAAACTCAAGCACTGTAAGTCTGGTACTCTGCAGTGCCCAGGGAAGGCACAGTGAGCACACAGTAGGGACTTTCAGTGTGGTTTCTTCCAGAGGAGTGTGGATGAATTGAGAATTGTGACTTCCAAGGGCTCTCAGTGGAAACCCCAAGAGTTCAAAGCTTTCTCAGTGGGATACTGTAAATATTGGATGGTGACTTGACAGATGTTTGCTGCTCGTGGCTGTTCTGTCAGTGCTGCCTGTGTTAGCAGGAGGCTGGGAGGGCTCTGGGGTGCCAAGTTCAGGGGACTGGTATGAGCTGAGGACAAGCACTAAGGCACAACTGTCTCTCTCTGCTCCTCCCTCCTTGTTTTCCCCCTGTGAATGCAGCACAGTGAAGCAGTTACTCCTCTGGGAATAAACTATTTCCTTAAGATGCCCTCTCAGAAACTTAAACTAGTTGCTCTAATAACTGATTTATTCCCAGTGAGCAATTACTGCACCACAAACATGATTAACATCACCCAAAACAAACCACTCTTAGGGGTATTTTTGTTTTCTTCTCACAGGACCTCTTTTAGGCTGCTCCATTTGATTTTTGGCTTTGAAGGAGCAATTTAAACCAACTTCCCTGGTTATAAGGTTAATGTTCCCTTAGAGTTGACAATTACTGCCTTTAACATGGCAATTGACCTTCTCTTAAATCAGAAGGTTTTTTAGTTGTTGATGTTGTTACCTGTAGATTTATTCAGGGAAGAAAGCATTTCTTTCTTTGGATGTCCTTAGTTTTTAAAAGCTTCTTTATCCTGTAGTGAAATACCAGTACCTAAAGTTCTGTCAACTGCTCTTTCTCATGATGGAGCTCTGAGCAGCCTGGTCTAGTGGAAGGTGTCCTTGCCCATGGCAAGGGGGAGAAAAAGAAGAGTTTAAGGTCCCTTCCAACCCAAACCATTCTGTGATTCCATTATTTTATATTTGTTATCCAACACCAAATAACCAAAACATGCTCTGAGGACTCAAACCTACCAGACACTTGGACACTGGACCTCTAAGTCAAGTGCAAAACCAGCCTGAAATAGTTTAAAATACATATAATAAAAGGGATTAACTGGCATTTATGTGGATCATTTCATCTCAGCATTGCTGAAGATTTTTTCAACACCAGGCCACAGCACTCTTTCTTAAAGCAGGACTTTGACAATAAGATTATTTAGGAGTTTAATCCACTGGAGTGTGCAGGAGGGGATTTTGCCTGCATATGAGTTAACAGGTTTACAGCTGGAGCAAAACAACAGGGTTTGAACTTGTGACATACATTTTTCAGCAGAGTTGTGTGTATGCTCTCTGTCACATCCAGTGGCCTTGCCAGCAGTATTTGCTCTTATCTGATCTGGATAGAATATGAATTGTACAAAGCTCTTTATGTGGAAATGCTCTTTCTATTGTGAGCGGCCACAGGGATCACCTGATTCCGGCCCATTCTTCTGCAATGAACAAAGGAACTTAAAACTGCACCCAAAAACTGCTATTTTAGAGTGTTTTCTCACAGGTTTGTGTATGTATTATGTCACTTCCCTACTCATTTTTCTGCATGTTTAAAACAGGAAAATATGCAGCAAAGAAGTCACGGAGGACTGATGTAGAAGACCTGACTCCCAACCCCAGAAAACTCCTCCAGATTGGTAACGAGCTGAGGAAGCTGAATAAGGTGATCAGTGACCTGACACCTGTCAGTGAACTTCCCTTAACTGCCAGACCCAGGTCAAGGAAAGAAAAGAACAAGTTGGCTTCCAGGTATGCATTGGGTAGAGCTGCAGGGATGAGAAAATTTGGATTGCTACAAGTAAATGTTAAAAAGCTAAACAATTTTTAGTAGTTTAGCCTAAAAAAAATCTACTTCATGTGGCAGCTCTTGCAATGGGAATTACCAGTTTATCAAATGGGAATTACCAGTTTACCAAATGGGAATTACCAATTTATCAAAAAGAAGAGCAGCTGGCACCTTGGGAGCTGTGGTTTGGCTGTTTTCTAGATAAGGATGTGTTTCCACTGGAATTGGCTTCCTTAGCTTTGGGCAAACAGTTGGGACAGTGGCAAATTCCACAAGTGTCAAATGTGAGCAGATGCAGGTAGCAGAGTGTTTCCAGTGCAGGTGAGTGAGGAGGGATGAGTTTGTGCATCACAGCTCTGGGAGGGTTGGTTGATGAGTTCATGTGGCTCTTACTGCTCTGGAATTTCTGGTAGTGCTCTAATTCTTCCTCTCTTCTTGCCATAGGGCTTGTAGGCTAAAAAAGAAAGCCCAGTATGAAGCCAATAAAGTTAAACTCTGGGGTCTCAACACGGAATATGGTAAATACAGCTCTTCACATCTCTAATTTTTTTTTTGTTTGGGCAAACCCATCAATTCTGTCCTACAAAACCAGCCCATTGAATAAAGTGAATGTAAATTGGGTTACCTGCAATGTTGAGCTACTTTGCAGGTGTAAATTATGTAAATGTATGCATGTGCTGTAAATATTACTGAAAACATTGGTAATATTTGATGTAAACTATTGCATTCAATTTTACAGTAAGTGTGATGTGACACCTTTGACACAGATAGCTGTATGTGGGTAATTGTGAATCCCTTCCAGGAGAATGTGATGTAAAGCTAATCCTTTTTTTTTTGATTGCAGATAATTTACTGTTTGTCATCAACTCCATTAAACAAGAAATAGTTAATCGGGTGCAGGTACCTAAAGATGACAGAGGAATCAACATGGAGCAAAAGTTGAACATACTTATTAAAGACACTCTTGGTAAGCAGTGAACTTGGTGTACTCACCTGGGTATGAAGATACAGAGTCATAAATACCCCGAGGAGCACCAAAGCTCATCCCATTCCACCAGAGACACCTCCCACTATCCCAGGTGGCTCCAGGTTCCATCCAGCCTGGCCTTGGACACTGCCAAGGATGCAGGGGCAGCCACAGCTGCTCTGGGCACCCTGTGCCAGGGCCTGCCCACCCTGCCAGGGAACAGCTCCTTCTCAATATCCCATCTAATTCTGCTCTCTGGCAGTGTGAAACCATTCCCTGTATCCTGCCCTCCATCCCTTGTAAAAATTCTCTCTCCATCTTGCTGTCTTATTCAGGCACTGTGAGGCCACAATGAGGTCACTCCAAAGCTTCTCCTCTGCAGGCTGAACAATCCCAATTCTCCCAGCCTTTCCTCCCAGCCCTCTGATCATCCTGGTGCCTTCTCTGTGCTTCCTATATTTGATTACAAACAATTTCTGATCTAGAGAAATGAATGAACACTTTCCTGATTCCATTTGTCTCAACCAAAGTGCCCCTGGCTTTGTGTCACACGTAGTGATGCCTTGGGAAGGCTGGCCTAGAACAGAGGCTGGACAGAGCTAAAGAATAAAGCAGGGATTTATTAAAAGGCCTCAATGCATCCACTTTGGGATGCACAAGAGTCCAGCCAGGGCTACACCCAAGATGAACCAAAATGGTCACAAAAATGAATGATTGGTCAGGAGGTCTCACTTTTATAAGTTCTGCTCCATTTGCATATTGGAGTTAATTGCCCAGTTATAGCTTTAGCTTATGAAGTCCCATCCTGCTTGTTTTTCTCTCTCCATCCCACGTTGTTTGTGCTCTTGGGCTGAGATTTGGATCATTTGTCTTTGGTCCCCAGCTGGAGAAGGAATTCTTTTGTCTCCCTGCTCTGTGCAGAGAGCTCAGCATCCCCTGGTATGAAGCTCAGACCCACACACTAAAGCAGCACAGAATGTAAAAAATAGAAAAGCCAAAACCTGAGGCATCAGTAGGAATGTGCCATGAGCAGTGACCTGAGAGCAGCTTCTCTTCCCTCCCTTTCAGGACTTCCCGTAGCTGGGCAGACGTCGGAGTTCGTGAACCAGGTGCTGGAGAAGACAGCGGAGGGAGACCCCACGGGCGGCCTGGTGGGGCTCCGGATACCCATGGCCAAGGTGTAGGGCAGGACTGGAGCTGCTCTGGGGCAGGTTCTGCCTGTGCTGCCGAGTTCCTCCTTGTAAATGGCATCCTGGTCTGCATGTCAGCTTAGCATTCTGTCAGCACTCACCCGTAGGTTCCATTGCTTTCGGTAACAGTGTAGGAAAACGAATCACGGCGTGGTAGGAAATGCCGCAGAGCATTTTTGGACCATAAACCAGATAGTTTCAAAGCTGCTTCAAGCTCAAGGGCAGAAATGAGAGTTCTCTTTCAAATGATCTAGGACCAGAATATATCACTTTTGTTTTCAAAGCAAAAATGTGGGTTTGCTAGAGAAAATACTTTAGCATTTGCCAGACATTGTGACAGGTTTATGGTCCAAGTGAAGTAAGAGGAAGCATTTTTTTGGTGAAGCTGTCAATGTAGGGAGTTTTTTGTTATTTTTTAAAAATTTTATTTTTAAATAATTGGATTTTCGTTTCTTGTTCTTACAAAAAAAAGTAAGCTTTCTTTGCAACCATTAACTTGTACATAGCACACGCAGCATTAGAGCTAGTGTGCCATATAAGACTTTAATTTTCTGAGCTTAATAGAGTATTTAAATGTCTGTGCAAGCAAGAGAAAAAAAAAGTATATTCTTTGTGCCTTGTATTTTGTGGGGAGAGCTATCAGTATAAGCTGGTAAAGTTTTGTATGAAGAAAACCCTGAGGGGCAAAACCGAGCTGTATAGATGGCGAGATTTTAGGTTTTAATGTATTTGTTCCAGCTCTTAAAAATTTTTGAATGTATATAGGAATATGTTGAAAATGTAGATATATGCCACAGAGTCTATGTATTGTATAAAAGATGGCTCTAGAAAACTCAATTTCGGTACTTTGGCCGGAAGAAAACAAATACTTGCACATTAATGCGATTGTTTATTTTTGTACCAAAGACAAATGCAACTGATATGGCGAACTGCCAGTCTAAGTAAAGTTTTGCACAGCTTATATGATACTGTACTGAATGTAAAAACAAAAGAAAAAAAAGAAAAAAAATTAAAGGTCAGGGTTAGGGATCTTACTGAACTGTGAATTTTTTTGTTTGGGTCCAATTATCTACAGAAGGAGCATTCATACATAACAATATTATTTTGCTGTTCTTGTAGTTCGCTTCCATGGTAGATAAGTTGGTGGCCGTCTTGGAGTCTTTAAATCTTTTTTCTCTGCACTTACTGTAGGAGATTTTAATATATTTGGATTTTAGTAAGCTATTGGTAAAATAGTTTTCGACTTTGAGAATTTAAAAAAAAAAGTATTTAGCTTGTTGTAGTATACTTCCACCAAACAACCAAAATAAAATTATTTTTATTGTAACGTGTATATATGTAAAGAGAAAAAAAAAGAGCTACAAATATCTAATTCCTTAGTTGCCACTTTTCCAGTTGATGTATTATTATGCATGTGATGTTTCCAAGGATCAACACAGGCTTCAAACAAAAAAAAAAAAAATTTATAGACTTTTATATTTTTGTACAGGTATTTCGAAACTAGCTTCTTCAGACTTATATGTGACTTATTCTTGTTAATTCAGTAGTTTCTATGATTGAAGAATATTAACACAAAGTTCTTATTTGCTCTTCTGCTAATAAGAGTTGGCTTTGTAGTCAGTGTTAACGTACAGATTAAAAGCTTTAGCCTTTGATGAGAAAGTCCTTTATCTCAAGGCAAGATCATTCTCTGGTTTCATGGACCCCCCCCCTTTTCCTCCCTGTTCTTTCTCTCCCTATTTAAAGATGACAAAACACTGTTTACTGAAAATAGAAATACCAAATATTTTCAAATGTAGCTGCTGAAAAAAAGAAAATGCAAAAGTCCATGAAGGCTTTTTCCCCACTCCCTTTGGGGAACTTCTCCACTTCGTTTCTAGTTTGTCTGAGTTTGTTTGTACTGTGATTCCTTTCTGTTTATAAGTAGATTATTTTTATATCCGAGCTTGTACTATAAGAGAAAAAAAGCCTGAATCGGTAACAGTGCAGGAGGAGTGGCTGCTGAAAGTGGTGGCCCTGCCACACTCACAGCTTCCTTTGTACCTAAATATTTTGGAAAACTCAAAAGGGAGGAGGAGGCCAAAATACCACTACTGAGCTGTACAGAAAGTCTTTCCTACAAGAGACTGAACAAATACCCAGGGCAATTTAGGCAAAACTTTGTAAATCCACTTAAGGCTTGCAAAATCTGAGTGGAATGTGGGTGTTTTTCTTTGTGGTGGTGGTGGTGTTCAGGTGAGGAGAGAGTTGGCTGCTGCTTTCCACAGTGGGTCTGGTGTATTCCTCTTGTTCTTGTGGAGCTGCCCAGGGCCCCAAAAACCCCAAGAGAGAATGTGTCCTGTGAGGTGCAGGCTGTAACCGAGCAGGGCTGGCACTCAGAGCTCGTCCCTGTGCTCCACCCAAACCCTGCGGGCGAAGCAGCATCTGAGCATTGAGAGAGAGCAGTTTCAAATCAGGTAAAAACTTCTGGGACAAATTCAACTGACAAGGCATTTAAAAGCCGCCCCACTTATTTTGCTACCTGGGAATCCTGGGCAACACACAACTTTATAGCTTTTTCTTTTTGTCTGAAAACCAGACTATGATTTTGGTCTCGCATTTCAAAGTAGACTTTGAATCTTTAGTGAGTTCCATACCCTTGCATTTCAGTGTTTCCTATGTATTATTTTAAGTTAAAGCTTTGAAATAGTTGAGCTTTTTAATGTTGACACTTTATTTTGTAACTATTTATATGTATGTATATCTTAGAAAAGCACTTTGTTTAAAAAAAAAAAAGAGGAAAAAGAAAAAAAAAAAAGAAACTGCGTTTTATATGATTCCTGCCACTTGCTGCTAACTCTGGGCTGGTCAGAATGCTGCAGCGATACTTGAGATAAATAAAACCTGGCAGTAAAATGTAGAGTAAAGATAAGACCTTTTGCTGGTTTAACTTTATCATAAAGGTGACATAGGCAAGCTGTGCAGCTTTACATTTTAACCAGGGGACTCTGTGGCATTTAAACCGTCTAGAAATGGTTGTACTTTAATGCCAGTAACAATCTGCTTCCTCTAGTGTCATTAAAATATATACATTTAGTGTATACTTATCACAAACAAAAATCTTATAAGGGTATAAAAACCAACATATGTACATGTTCTGTTTTTTGGCAATTGTGGCATGCGTTTTGGGGTGATCTTTAGAGAAGACCATTTTCTAAAGATTTTCAGTGTTCATACATAGTATGTGGATCTTAACGAAATCCTGGGTTTTTTGTTTTGTTTGTTTTTGAGTGTAGGCATTGTGAATATTCACTTTTAATCCTATCTCCAAAAACAATGATCTATTTTTTGATTTAATACAACCAGAAAGCTCTTCCTTTTTCTGATACACTGGATTCTCTAGGATTTGTTTCCATATTAAAAGCATGCTGTCATAACTGCTCTTGTCGAGATCTCGTCAGTCTGAACGTAGGTGCCACACTTGGAATCGATGGGCTGCTTGTTCTGCTGTACCATGTATGACCCTCGTCCTTCCCCTCCCTTCATGACAGATGATGATGTGGCTTTATATTGTGCCTTACTTGTACATCTAGAAACTAAGTGTTTTTCATTCCCTCTGAACTCGTCAAAGCTTCTGAGGTGGAGTCAGAGCTGATTGAAGCGTGCTGGAGCGAGTGCAGACAGGGCTGATTTCAGTTTCTCTCTCTAGTCCTTTTGTATTTCTATGGAAGACCAGTTTTTGAATGGCCTTGCAAAACGTGGGGGTGCTCCTGAAGGGTGTTTTTAAACCCAAAACCCCTTTTGCTAACGCTTACTTTTATGGTTTATTGAACACATTTACTGATACTTGGTGAGTGCTTTATGTTTTTTGGGATGAGAGAGACTTACTACTAAAGCTGTGTTTACGTGTGGATGGGCTGGATTTTCTTATCATACCAGTTGAAATCATTGTGATTTAATAAAGTTGTATTGCTGTAAAGCTGATGTGAGAGTCAGGCTCAGCTGTGTTCAGTTCCTAATTTATAGGTTGACTTTTTTCCGTACTAAGAGGGCCAGGGAAAAGTTGGGGTTTTTAAAAAAAAGCAAACAAACAACAAACCAACCTAAAATGGTTGAAAGGTCTTTTAACTAACCTAAAAGCAAACAGACACTTTGGAAATGTAGAGGTGTCAGTTTAAAATTTATTTTTAAAAGACACCCCCCAATATTTATCTAATATTTATCTTGCCTTCATTAATGAAACAGCTTATTCACAGCTATAATGACTGGATGTGCTTTTCCATAAATCATTTAAACATAGCAATTTTTTTTTTTATTATTTTAAAGAAGCTCTGAAGGGTTTTATTGGGAGAATTTCCAAGGGTTGTATCCAAGCTGCCTCCAGCAGAAATAGCAAATGCAGTCCTGTTCCTCAAACGTGCTTGCTCGTCTTCCTGAAATTCTGCTGAGGCACAAGCCAGTTCTGGACCGTGAATGTCAGGATCTGTATTTGGCCTTGAGACCCGAGTTTCAAGAGTGCATCTAAGCATGATTTGGTTTTCCTTTGAAGTTGGAATCACCTAGTGGAGTGTGCTGCTAGATGTGGTCTTGGCTTGTTGACACAGCCTTGCACACAGCTGAGGTTTATTTTGTTTACCCCAGGGATGGTGTGAAGTACATTTCAAACAGTTGCTGCCTCAGTGACTGATCCTTCTTGTAACTGTATTAAGGGCATTAGTCTGTTGAGAAAACACCACTCTTGAATATCTCCCAATGTAAATTGGGATTTCTTCGATGTCATTAATCAAAGATGGCACTTTCAGGCTGTATCTTCTTTGCAGCAAACAAAAATCTCTGTCTTTCTACAACTTGCATTTCACAATATGCCATGTTTTCCCTCCAGTGCTTCGAGAAGGTGTCTTTGCACTCTGGATATAATCCTCAGCCTCTTAGACATCCATGAACTTCCATGGGAGCAAATACTGACTCTGAATTTATTGTTTTTTACCAAGCTGTGGAGCTAAAAGTGGAACCAGAGCTCTTTGAAGCCACACTTGCATTTTTTTGTTTCCCCCATTAAAAAAAAAAACAAAATTCCAAGCTTTTTAGATAACGTCACAATTCAGAGTTTTTCTAGAGTTTAAAGTAATTTTTAGTTGAGTATATTTAAAGTCAAATTGGGTGACTTAACTACTACTGTAGGGAAAACTTACAGATTAGATTTGATATTGGAAAAAGCACATCCCACCCTATCAAAATCTGATTAGGAAACAGAACCTAGTAAGAAAACTTAATTTTAATTTCTCTTGTAATGATGGATATTCATGCATTCTGATTGGAATCATCTATCTTCCCAGAATATTATATATCCAAGGAAAACTTGCTCAGTATTTGTAGTTGGGTGAACTCTTAAGGCTGATGGCACATGAAGATGCAAAAAAAAAAAAAGCATTTTAAACAAAACATGGCATCCTGTTCTGCCTTTGCTTGGGGTCATGATTGTAATGCTGTCCTTGATATTCTATAATCAACTTCCAACTGGAGCTCAGTAAAACATACTGAAAGTCTTGTCTCTGTTAGAAAATAAATTTACCTTGTTCAAAGCATGATCTGTTAAGAGTTGCAATGTTAAATGTTGGTTAATAGTTGTGCAGTTTTATTTTTTTGAAAAGAGGCACAATTAAACTATTGACTTTGTTTACTCTGTCACCCTTGATCCCTAGCACTTCTATTCAGATACAAATTCATCAATGTATGCAACATCCTTTGTAATTTAAAATAAAAATTGTGGAGGAAATACTGTCCGGAATCATTGTGTGTGTGGAATGATAGGGAGTGGCTTCTGCTGCCTTGAACTTAGTGCTAGGTGTGGTGTTTCCAGGAAGTTTCCTTTGGAATGGGTGACAGGTGGGTAAGGGAATGTCTGGTTTGTGCTTCCTCATGCTCAGAGCTGCCTGGCAGCGCTGCTGGCTCGCTGGGGACATGTGGAGAGCCCGGGTTAGTGCCTGGGGAAGCTGCTGCTGCAGTCCCGTGGGTCTGGGGGCAGCAGGGAAGGACTCGGCGCCGGGAAAAGCGAAGGGCATTGCTGTGGTGAGCACATTTCTGTGAAAAATCCTGACAGGGAGAGAAACGTGCTCACCATTGCCCTGCTTCTCACTCTGGGGTGCAGAGCTCGTGTTCCCCACCCTGCTCCTGACCAGTCAGCCTGGCCTGGAACCCGAGGAGGCTCTTGGATGTAAACCTGGAACTTTTCCATGGGAATCTTCTGGTTCTGCACAGCTCCTGACAGGAGGGGACAGCCAGGGGGACATCCAGGATGAGAGGGAACAGCCTCAGGCTGGGTGAGGATGGGCTCAGGGTGGGCACAGCAGGAATTTCCCCATGGAAAGGGAGCTCAGGCACTGGAACTGCCCAGGGAGGTTTGGATCCCATCCCTGGGGTGTCCCAGGAAGGGCTGGAGGTGGCAGTGGGTGCTCTGGGCTGGGGACAGGGTGGGGATCACAGTTTGGATTCAATGGGTTTCAGAGGTGTTTTATAACCTCGGTGATCCTGGAATTCTGCTGT